GAACTTTCCAAATCGAAAACTATTTCTAAAGATTTGTCTCCATTTTTCTGTCGTCGATGGTCAAACTTTTGTTTCTTTCTGTTTGAGGCTTTTTCGCAGTTAGCTAGCTGTTTATTAGAGCAGCCTGTAGCGCCCCCTTTTGACGACACGACTCCAAAGACTAATTCATATTTAAGTTTTACATTTTTTTTGACATTTGCAAAAGTTTGCTTTAAATTCACTCGATAGATGTGTTTGGAAACACAGTTCGTGACAATAAACCGAACGTACAAACGTCTGTATCATTGTGACAACACCGCCACCTTCAGGTCAAACTACGCTATGGTCCTTTGTCGTTTTTGTCTTGCAGACTTAGAAACACTCATTTTCAACATTTTTATGCTACAAACATGTTTTAAACGAAGCTTTTCATCATTTTGGTTGATTGTTTAATCGAGAGAAATCACCGCTACTAAAGAAACTTCCAGAACACGTATTCCCGCGTTCGAAGCTCAACTTGTTCCTGAACTCTGCGTGAATCGTCCCACCGGCCGACCAGAAGCTGCCCCGGAGGGTCTAATCTGCCGCCGAGGCCGGGAATAGAAGCTCTGAGCTGCTGGAAATCCTGCAGCGTAATCAGCTTATCGCTGCCTCCTGAGCCGAACGCTGATAGCCGCCGAGCTAACGTCCAGGCCCGAAGCATCGCGGTCAGACGGCGGCACGCGACCGGCCACGGCGAGTCAGTCGGAGCCGCTGTGTGAAGACGAAGGTGAAGAAGAGTCAAGAAGATTGAAGGTTTTACTGCTAGCTGATCTACACACTGAGCAAGCACAACGTAAACACTCTGTCACAGCTTTAAACCCTTTTTTTTTTTTGCAATTTCTCATTTTACAGATTTTACCCGTTAAATTAGAGGAAGTATGAAGTAAAATTACAGGAGAACGTTTTGATTTAAACATTGACTATGACAAAAAATGTAATTTAAAAAAAGGTTCAAAACTGTAAATAATGTCCACATCAAAAATAGATATTTTTAAGAATAGTAACTAGCTATATTATGATATTTGACCATAAATTGCACTATTTCTACTGTATTTAATCACCAATGAATATTATTTGCAGTTATTGAAATTATGTTTTTAATGAT